AGATGGGCCCTGCAGTGGGTTTTGCTTGAAGCCACCTCCTTGGGACCACAGGCAAGAAGGTGGGTCTGGAGGATCTGGCCTGGGCGGGATACTTTGAGTTGGTGTGTAATCCTGCATGGTTAAACTGGCCCAGCCTTCCCGTCCTGAATCAGAGATGTGCCAWGGGAGGCACGAAGGGTTGACAGGTGAGAGCATCTTCCCTCCTTCCAGGTTGACTCCTTTGGCGTAAGGAAAAAGGAAAAAAAGGAAAGAAAAATCATCAAATTATTAAAGCAAACATTCAATTTTCTAACAACAACCTTCTTGTGTTCCGTGCAGGAGAAGGAGAGCACCAACCACTACGTTATCAGCACCAGCAGAAGCCTGCGCAGCCGGGAGCACACGGTAAGGCTCCTGCTCCAGCAGCACCAGCCCMAGCCCAGTGGGAAACGCAGCCCCAGAAGCTGCTCAGCAGATAACAAAAGCTGCCAGCCCAAGGTGGAAACCAGCCCGATAATTTATTAATGGGAATTGACTTAAGGAGGAGCACTGCAGGAGAAGGGAAGGCACTGCTTGYTCACAAGGCGCTGTCCTTGGCCTTGCCGGCTGGTGAAGGGCAGTTTCTTGTAACAAAGAGAAAAGCAGGATCCAGACATAGCTGCCCTATAAGGAAAAAAAAAAAAGTTGAATGTTATACAGAAATATTAGACAATTAGACAAAGACCTTCCCTAAACTCTTCTAYCTTGAAATAGCAAATTCTCACGCATGGCTCACGTGAGACACATACTCTGGTTATTCCTTATCCAAAGTGACATTTATTTCTACATCTTTCCTACAGATTCCAACAGAAACAAAATTTTAGATGGAATATTCCAAAAGTTACATCATCCAGCAACACAGCGTCGCTTACCAGAAGGTGAATGCAGATGCAGTAATGCACRAAGACGGAGGGATATTTTCATAAGCCTTATGAAGAATTTACTATATGAGATTATGTTCCAAGTTTTGGAATGGGCTTATTAGTGTTTGTGTGTGTTTGTATATATAGATGTATTTATGTACGTATGTGGGGGTAGAATGACATGGATTTTCTTATTTCTTACTTTGCCGACACAGTTTTGCTCACTGCTCAAGCAAATAATGCTAAAACTATCCACATTGGCTTGTACATAGATCTGTATTATTCCAACAGTCTGTAGACAACCTGTACAGTTACTAGAGATTATATAAATATTTAAAATTTTGTAATTTATATCATGTCGGCAAATAGTTGGGAGTGATATTTTGTCTTTAACTTGTGTATAATTTATATTAAAGTTTTCTTTAAGGCTTGTAAGATCCTGGTAGACTGAGTCATTGGGCTCCTCAGGTCGCTCCCAAGCACAGCGCACTCGGGAGGGCCTCACGTCTGCTGAAGAACATGAAGGTAGCTCAGCAAAGATTTACAGCATATTCATAACCAAACATGATTCTTTTACGTGGTTTGGGTTGATAGAAAATGCATACGACGGGACACAGGGCACATATTTATAGTGAAATATCAAATAATGATTTTAGTAACTGTGGTTCTTGCTGCATTTGTGAGCAGATTTGTGTGTAGCTCCTGTTCAGGCTGGTTTCTTGTTATAACACATTTTTTTTGCATGATGATTTGAAAACTGAAAGGAAAATAAGGAATGGCAATTCGACTGTGTTCAGATCCATGTGGATACCAAGGATAGCTCCAAGGAATCGCATGATGAATCAGTCTTCCTATCTGCATTACTGACCTACATCACTTCAGTTGATGGTGACAGAGAGCTCAGGATGGTCACTACCAAACTGGAGCCTGAAGTGCGGGTGGGGAACGTGGCAGTTTTCCTCCTGAGGGGCTTTCCCTTCCCTGTTGGCATGAAGGCAGCCCCAGGATGTGCTCCAGGCAGCAAGCTAAGGAACCAGCTCGACAGGAGATGCCGAAAGGCACCGTTTCCCATGGCTCTTGGACAAACCTTCAAAGGTCTTTGAGTTAGAAGAGCCCATTCTGATCTTCTGGTCTGCATAACCCAGAGGCACAACTGCCTTCAATTGCCACCTCCTCCAGCACGTTCAAGTCTGAGTCCTGAAGCTGAACTACAGGAWAGCTTTCGGAGAGGTAAAAAAATCTCATTTAAATGAGGCCAGTGCTGAAGATATAAAGAACCTTCTCCCAATGGAGAGGGAAAAAAGGAACAACCTTGGGAGTCTGGATGAAATAGCTGTGTGAAATCACACAAGTGTTTTATTTTTCACATTTAGACTCAACTTCCAAAAAAGACAAGGTGATGAGAATAGCAAATTTTCGGAGTGAATTTAAGATATGGTAGAGGGAAGAAGAAAAAATAACCCAAACCAATAATCTTTATTTCAACAATCTGCAAGATCTAAAACAGATATTGAAGGAAACCAGACCAAGATAAGTGGGGAGAAATGCAGCTTGATTTTATAAAACGTGATAATGTTAAAACRAGACTTTGAATACAGCGAGAATAGGGTGCCTGTGAAGTCTGAGATAAAAGAAACGCCGTGTTTGGAAACCACATTCAAACATTTGCAGATGAAAAACAAACTGCAGCCCCGTGGCGGGTGATCATTAGCCTGAAATGCCGGGGTGGGGAGAGAAGGCCTTGGGTGATGGCCACAGCTGTACTTGCCCACTGCTCCTCTGAACTTGCCACAGCAGCYTTGCTGCTTAAGTCAGGCCTGAGGAACCTCTCGCCAGAGCTGCCTACCCAGTGCAGGAAAGCTGAAGTCACAGGGAGACAGCGGGGAGAAGCTGAGGGTGTTTGCAGAGCGGAGGGGCTGTGTTCAAGGGCTCACAAAGAGCTAGAGACACGGCAGGGGGTTAACCGCGAGAGAGGAAAAGCAGTGCAAGGTGAAAAGTAACAGATAAAGGGGGAAAAATGGATATAAACCGGCAAAACTTAAGCTTAGGCTAGAAACTGGAAGACAGTGCCTAATTTTTCCAATGGTGGGGTTCCAAACCAGCCTTTCTAAACAGGAGGTGCAAAAACCTAAATTACTTCTAAGGGGTAGGCTTGATGTGTTTATGAATATCAAGTTCTATTTTGAAACATAACTACACAAAAATGAGACTTTCGTGTCCCTTTGCTTACATGCACTATCATTCTTCTCCATTACATCAAAATCTTTATTACCATCTGTCCCATGCACAGAATCAACCAGATTCTACTGTTCAAGTGCCTGATGAAAGTACCAAGTATAAAGTATAAAATACCTGAACACGCTGAGGAGCCCGCTGTGAGGGCATCGTTGCTATACAAAGACCATTTCACAGTAGCTAAGATTTATTTTTAAGAGCATAAAATAGAACAACATAGAATAAAACAGTGGAAATAGAACTTACATAATACTGAAATTTCCTTTTCAGAAGTAGAGTCAAGATGAAAATAAATATAAACCTTGACAATGGCATTTCTGGTCATTAGAAATTTTGACCTGTGACGTTTCTGAACTGCCCACTGAAACAAGCAGCTACTATGAAAAAAGAAAATAAAACCCCAGACATAAATGCAAAGCAACTGTTAACCGAAGGTTTCCAGTCCACTACTTCCAAGGAAGTAGTAAACAGAAATCTCTAACTGAAGAGCTTGCAAATAGGAGAGCACAAACAGGACCCTGCTGAAGATGCAGAGATTAAGTAGAAAAGATGCAGGTCTTTCTTTACACGCAGAACATAGACACTTGGCTGAAGTCCAAACACTGCTGAGCCTGGAGGACCTTCCAGCAGGTCACACGGAGCGGCTGAGGTTGGAAGGGACCTCCTGAGGTCTCCTAGTGCAGCCCCTGCTCCCMGCTGCAGGGACACCCGGGGCAGGGGCCGCACGGAAGTCCCGCAGCGCGACGGCTCCTGGGCCCTCAAGCAGTCCAAGGGATCCCGCCAGCCCCGGGACAACCCTCGCCCGTCCCAGCGAGCCGAACGGCACCTTTCCCGGCCCCAGGAACAGCCCCGCGGGCCTCGCGCATCCTGCCCCACGGAGTTCACCATCACAGAATGTTCAAGGCTGGAAGGGACCTCTAGAGCTCATCTAGTCCAACTTTCCCGCTCCAGCGGGCGCACCTAGAGCACGTGGCACAGGGTGGCATCCAGGGGTTATTCCTGTTTATTCCTATTCTCCCCTGCACTGTTTGGTGAAGCCAGCACTGCTCTTTTGCCCTCGTCTGTTAAACCGCTCCAGCACGTTCAGAGGGGCATTTTACCAATAACATCATGAAAATAAGAAGTCCAGGCGCAGATCTACGAGGTTTGACCCCTTCACCTGCTTCACGAGACGCTGGGTAACAACCGATCCAGCCCTGCCACCCAACCCACGTCTAACAGCGAGGCGGAAGCGGCTGCTCGGTCCTCTGCGAGGAGCAGCTCTCAGGGAAGAGCAAAGCTGCCCACGGGGCCTTCTCAGGCACACGGAGCTTCAGAACGAGGGCGGCCTCCAGGACCACGAACACCTCCCCTTTACGAAGCTACATCAGATAAGCCGGGCTTTAGGGAGCCAAGCAGTACCAGCCACTTGAAGCCACATTTCCTACTGGGTGAAATCATACGCCAACACGAACCTGCCTAAAGCTACTGCCYGCTCAATCACGTAACAATGACACAACACTTTCAAGTTATTCATGTATTTATTATAAATTACTGAAACAAAATCATGGTGACAGAACAATTTTCTTTTTTACCCGCCCCAAAACACTCAGATTTCATGAGAAACTGCATCGTTCTATCACAGAGCCTTTTCCTTTGCCCTGTTTTAAGATGCTTTTTTGTATTCTTCAGAGCAACCGAAACAGCCAGCCTGCTTCTCAGAAATACGCAGCCTTTTCACCAGGTGCCGCTTGCTCACCATTTGTTTGTACACTTCAAAGGGTGTTTGCACATCTCCAAAGGTTTGCCATGCATCCATATTTATCTGAAAGGTAGCTGGAAAGATTTGCCCGTGGTCACAGGGAAATCAATATGAGAGAGTGCAAATCTAAAGGGCACTCGCTCTGGTAATTAGAAAACACGGGGTTCATACTAAAATTACCAAATTTGGAACGTTGCACCACCAAGGCTCTTTGACCTAGTAAACTAACAAAGAAAAAGATGTTTAAAAAACAAGTAGTAACACAAAGGCTGAGAGAAGTTAGTTTAGGTTATTATAGCAGGAAATTATGAACCTTAAAAAAAAAAAAATCCTATCTGAAAGCAGCCCTGCTAGAAAAGTGGCATTTGGGGGGAAAAAAAAAAAAAAAAAGACAGTCCAACACTTCCATGGATTGGAAATGCTTTGTCATCTGCTTCAGCTACCAGCCACATCAGGGAACATTCACATCTTACATTTATCGTATTTGTATTTAAGTGTGCTCATAAAACCTGAATTTTAGACCAAAACACTCAGTCGCCTCCTTAAATATCCACTTCAAAAAAAAAMCAGTGATGACCTTTATATGAGCCACGGGCTGTTAAACTCAATCTCGACCACACAACTGAAACAGATAAAGGCTTTGCAGGGTTTCTTTCTTTTTTTTTTTTTTTTTAGATCTGCATAACAGATTTCAGACCCCTTTTTTCAGACGATCAAAACGGGAGGTTTGGCTCCTGTACAYGTTGGATCGAGTGACACAGCGGGATGCCACAAAACCACCCGCGTGGGAGCCAGGGCCGCCTGGCACCTCCGCACAAACAGCCCTGCGCAGACCGGGCCCTCTGTACGTGGCAACAGACCTATCCCAACTAAAACAGAGCTTTTTAAAAACRAAAAACACAACAAATTAAAAAAAACACCCACCCACCCATGTCAAAAAATCCGCAATATATCATGACATGTCTCACAGCATGCCCAAAGCCGCATTTGGGGTATTTATTTTGCTCTCCTGATATTGCAGAATTGTTTCTTTTCGTTTCTTTTTGACGCAGCAGTATTTTGCACATCTGATTTCTAGTGCCATGAATTCTGAATAGCCTCAACTCACGCCAAGTAATGGCAATTGTTAATACAAAAGACATTAAAGCTTCCTTAGTATATCATTATGTTGTCCCTTTGGAAATATTAGTACCAAAACGGTGTCCAGGGGCCGTGACTGTGTTAACTTCACGTAGAAGCCCAGCACTTTTACAATCATATTGCAATTTGATTATTGTACACAGGTTAACAAAAAAACCTATCACAAGTGAAACTAAACATTGGCTTTAGCAAAAAACAATATTGGTACAACGCCTGTTCATTTTCTCCGGGAAATAATATTACAAGTGTTCATCTTAGGACAATTTAGCCACACTAGAGACGGAAGTTCTGTTAAAATGCAACCGTAGTCTACTAAGACACTTATTTTAGCACTACAGAATATTTGAAGTCAGAGTCCTACAGCCAAGGTTTAAAAATTACTTAAGATTCAAACCCCCAGAGTGTCCTACAGTCAAAATGACAGTATTAAAAAAAAAACCAAATTAATTAAAAGACTGCCGGATATAGTTTTATCCTCCTCGCAGCGCTCCCTGCGCCCAGGCCCGCCCCGTCACTGGTAGTAGGGTCTGTACCTGGCCTGGTCGGGGTGATGCGGCCCCGGCAGCGGCGCCTGCGCCGGCGGCCCCTGCATCCTGGGGGGCGGCGGCGGCCCCCTGGGAGCCGGCCAGATGCCGGGGCTCATCCCGCCGGGCTGCGTGAAGGGGGGGCTCAGGGTGCCTTGGTCCTCGCTGAACTGCGGCAGGGAGCTGGGGTTGTAGTGGTGCGGAGGGGGCGCGCTCACGTTCACGGGGGGCCCCGCGTGCTGCGGCGGCGGCGGCCCCGGCGGCGGGTGGTTCATGTAGGGCGGCATCTGGGCGATGATGTGTCCGGGCGGGGGGGTGATGGGCGGCGGCGCCGAGGTCATGGGCGGCGGCGGGGCCTGGCTGTAGACCATGTGCGGGGTGCCCGCCGCCTGCGGCGGGTGCTGCAGCGGGTGGCTGATGGGGGGCGGCGGCGGCGGCGGCGGCGCGTAGTGCTGCTGCGGGGGCAGGATGTGGTGCGGGTGCGACACCACCGGCTGGCCCTGGTACTCGGGGTGGTGGTGGGCGGGGGCGGGCGCCGGCGGCGGCGGCTCCCGCGCCGCCGAGTTGGAGTCGTCCTGGATGGGCACCGTGATGAGGTTGCTGTGCTTGCGGGTGGAGATGCGGAAGGTGTCCTGGGCGACGGGGCGCGGCGGCGGCGGCGCCATGGCCAGCTCGGCGGGCGGCGCGCGGATGTCCTCGTGCGGCTGGCTGTAGTGCTCGTGCGGCACGTGCTGCAGCGGCGGCGGCGGCAGCAGCAGGTGCTGCTTGGGCGGCAGGTGGCTCAGGTGGTGCTTGTCGGGCGGCAGGATGAAGCGCTCCGGGAGCTCGGCGGGAGGCGGCGCGATGGGCGGGTGGACGGGCTCGATGGGAGGCCGCGGCACCGGCTTGCCGGCCCGCATGTGGCGGTGGTTGATGTGCGCCTGCAGGTCCCGCTGCGACAGGTAGGTCCTCTTGCAGCCCTGCACGATGCTGCACATGAAGAGCGAGCCCCGCACGCACTGCTCGATCCGCTGCACCGGCTCGTTGCAGCTGCACCAGACAACAGCAGCGGTTAGAGCCACCACAGACACCTCTCCTTAGGAGAGAACCACCCAACCAACTCACCAAGTTAAAACTGACTCCCCTCTCCCCTGCTGTAGCAAGGAACAAGACATTTCACTGACCGTGCAGTTTGTCTAACCAGTAAGTCCCCAAATACCCCCAGCTTTATCTAATTATAAGTTCCCCCAAGTGTATATAATGCCAAATGTATTTGGAATTTCCGGTGTGTTTGATTCCACACACAAAATTCCCATCAAAAATTCACAAAATTCGAAAATGACATCAACCTTGATCAAAAATTCCTTCTATAATACTCACCATGCTTGCTAAGAATCACACAATAAGCAAATTAAACTGTCATTTATTCCTTTCCAGAACAAGTTGATATCATGAATATCCATTAGAACACYTGAACTGTAAAAACACTTCAATCTTTTACAACATGTTAGCTAAGCAACATTGCTTAAGTAACATTAGCTAAGCAAGTTGCTTAAATAGCCAATTTGCCATTTCTTCTAAAAGTGCATAACTAAGAAGCATTTATAAAAATATCTGAAATAAGCCACCTCTTTTTCTATAATTACAAACAATTCTTTAATGATTAATCTCTAGAGAACTTACCCTGGACACATCTTGTCTCCCTTTTTCTCATGGAGTATAGCACAGTCATAGCAGAAAACGTGCTTGCAAGGGATCTAGAGGGGGAAAAAAAAGGCTGTTTCAAGACATCCTCCCAAATGTCCATGTTGCTTGGCACATTCCCTCCCTCCAACACACAATGTCTAGAAATACTGCCCAACTGCCTAAGTTACCTATGAATAGACACAGCAGGAATGAGCAGTTTGGAGCACACTTAAACAGAAACCACTAGTTTTAGAATATATACATATATATATATATATTCTATTTTTTTTTTAAATAAAGAGCATTGGCAACAGGTATCGACGAAAGTTTGCAGCACTACTAATCCTGACCCTTTTCAGAAGGTGCATGTGCAACCTAATTACACATCCCTTGCCAACTAGCCAGGCTTATGTTAAAAGTACATCTGCCACTAAACCCAATCCCTCACTCTGTTCCATTACACTCAGAAATCAAATTTTATCTCAGGGATTTTAGACATTCACATCAAAAGCACATAAAAACGAACAGTGTATTCAAAACTAATTGCAAGTCTCAAGCTAAAGAATTCAGCTTTACAGCTAAGTGATATAAGATTGAAAGTCACTGAACTTGAGGTTTTTGTGTACTTTGGTACTTTTTTCTCCTTTTTCTTTAAACCTGGCACACTTTCAAGCTTTCTTAACTAATCAAGAGAAAAATTAACACAAGTCATACAGAACAAAAGCAGTTCATCAGTTAAGGCTCTGGTTCCTTCCTGATACTCTCCTGCTGCTCAGGACCTGCTGAAATCAGTTAGCCTCTAGCAAGGCCTAATTGTACTTGAAGGAAGGCCAGAGCTGCCTCCTCTCCTGACAGTTTTACTCACCATACGTCCATACATTTTGATGGGCAATCCACACTTATCACAGAAATGCACAGGGGTATCATCCTTTTCCCCGAGCAAGTTTATCTAGCAAGATAGAGAAAAGGGTGAGTGAATAAAAAGCATCAGTCAGGCTGCTCATTTCAACCATTACCAACACAGCAGCAAATGCTGAAATGACCGAGAAGCAAAAATGCAACAAACATGAGAAAGTAGAGAACATGTTTTCAGTAAATCAAAATCAAAAAGCACTTTTACTTAAAAASTTATCTACCAGGATGAGTCACAGTTTGGTAGGACTCACAGACCAAGACTCCTGATTCCCCATAAATGATTTTACCTTATAGTCCCAGAAGATGGGTCCAGGAAGTCTCCTCTGATTTCCAAACATTTCCCCGCCTTTGCATTCGTATCGTTCCTCTTCGTTATAATCAAATTCTTCTGTGGAAAGAGGAAAAGGCACAAAGACAACACAACCACTTCCACAGCCCATCTCAGAGCTCTGTAAGTGAAAAAAGCTCCAATTAAAAGCACTGAGATCACGAAGAAATGCCACAACCCTTCCAGAAAGACAACAGCGTGATAGTTCATTTGGAGAAYAAGCATCATTTATTACTTTTGGCACAGGAGGACATGGAAATGCAAAACTTGCTCCGTACTCATGCTGAATCCAGCAGAATAAGCCCCAACACTGAGTGCAGTCCTGAGCAAGGCTGTAGAATAACTCTCAGCTTCCTTCCTACAGTGCTAGCRTTTCCATTAACTTACCTTCATCACCAGCCTGAGTCTTTGAAGGCATCCTGGTCATATTCCTTGCAGTTCGAGGTGCAGGTTTGGCTTTGTTGGTCTGTTTTGAGATAAGCTTTATAGGGATTCTTCTACGGACGTCAAGACCACCCAATGATCCYGAACTATTTGTTCCTTGCAAATCATTGTCTATGAAAGAGAAAAATAAGTTGCTGTAATTCTGTGGTTATTTAAACAGTCCATAAAGAGGTTAGCTAAAAACAGAAAAGTTTTAGGTAAARTAAGTGTTAAAGTTTGCTCAAGACTCATACAACATAACAAAGTTTACCCACTAGAAAATTATCTTAAATCCCTTCACATACAATTTCTTCTAGAAATCAAGTCAGAGAATTGCTCAGGGAACAACCATCTTGGGAAATGCAGTTTAAGAAATAAAGTTATTTTATTAGAAGTAGCCTGTCTGTCAGAGCTRGTCTGTCATCTCTCCACAACAGCAAAATGACTGCTAACTATTGGACTACTCCTATTAGAGCTTGACTATAGCTCTTTATACAATCTTGACTATGTAAATAATCAAAATAATCTTTTCTCATAAGAACATCTATATAACTTGCTTACTAAGTAAGCTGGAAGGAAATAAGGTTTCCATGCTAACTCCCAGCAACTTGACATATCACTTGGGAGTTTAGTAAAAAGCATCACAAAAGACACTGATTCTTACAGTATATAGTAATATTTTYGCTAAATTAAAAATTGTCAGTCCACCCTATACAGAACTCTCTTTAACCAGTTTTAAATCTGAGCACCAGAGCAAAGCATACAAGAAATTGTCTGGCATAAATATGAGTACAAAGGGGACTTAAGAGATGACCTCGGGGTTAGTACTGCAACAGGCAGCGCTACCACAGCCCACACTACAGCATCGCGTTTATACAAAAATAGGAAGATTGCTTTCACAAATCAACATGGTTCGCTTTCATTTTAATAGGAAAAAAAAAAGCATTTTATCAATACATGCTCAAGACATCTCTGTAATTAAAASAAACAAACCTCTATACAACCTTTACTAGACTTGTGTGCATAAATCTTTAACTCAGCACCCACTATAGGATGGGTGCATATGCAGGACCATAAGGGACACAACTGAACTTACGTTTGGAAACATAAGCAAGGGAGGGTCCACAAGCTACTGCAGGGAGCCCTGCTCTTCAAATATTCAAATTTGGTGCCATGGGGCCCTGGAATGACTTTTGAGTCTCCAAAACACCTCAACAGGGAAGCATATGGACACTGGAATTAGGTCCAGGCAGCGTCAGACTGCACAATACATCACCTAAGCAGCTACCATTCCCCCAGGCTTGTAAGGTCCATATACAACACAATGATAGAAGAAGAAATAGGGGGAAAAAGTAAATGGGGACTCGCTCAAAGTTTTTTAGCAGCTAACACCAAAACTAGGAACTAGGAATGGTGACACATTTGAAGCTGGGACAGTGCCCTAGCAGTCACTTTACCTCAAAATCAAGAACCCCAATTTTCTGTGGGTCAACTGTATTTATTTCTCTTTGAACTGTGCTTGACACGTTTCAATCTAAAAGGGAAAACGTAGA